ATTCAATATCAATGCTTTTCTTTTTTAATTCTCACCCAAGGATATTTTTCCATTTATTTTCAGATAGAGCAAAGGGAGGAAGGAGAGGGGAAGAGAGAGAGAGAAACATTGATGTGAGAGACACATGGATTGGTTGCCTCCACACATGCCACCACTGGGGCTGGGGATTGAACCTGCAACCCTTTGGCCAGCGGGCTGATGCTCTAACCACTCAGCACACCAGCCAGACCTCAATACCAATGCTTTTTAAAGAATATTTTTCTTCTTTAAAAAAGGCCTAGAAATTTCATTTATTGGTTCTAATAATGAGAGAAACAAATTGGAAACTATTCAGTGTTTAGCGTGTTTTAGATTATAAACTTTTAAAGGACAGGGACTATTTTAGGGAACCAGTGGAATGACTATGCTCTTTTAAACAATTCATCACCAAAAAATATTTTTTTTCTTTTTATCAATTCACAAACAGACGTTATAGAAGGCAACTTGCAAGTATTATTATTTCCCTAAATAAAACTCATTATTTTAAATTTTAATATCAGCCAACTACTAGGAGTGATATGTAGGCCCAAATTAATTTTTTTTTTAAAAAAATGAAACTTTTCTCTGTTTAATGTTATGTCCTAAAATAAAAATTTACCAAAGCATAATGCAGAATATATTTTTCAACAATACAACTCACATTTTCAAGGACATAACCAATTAGCTTATTGATTTTTTAAAAAAAATTTAAAAAGTTACACTGTTGTCCCAGGTCTGAGGCCCTGGCAAGAGGTTGGTCAGTTTCCCTACCTGAATAAGTCCATACCTCACCAACTTCTGTCCATAGCTCTCAGACTCCTAGGTCGCTATGCACCCACCACGATTGTCCAGAGGTCAGGTATCAGATGACTTGGGACAGCACTTATGCCCTGTAGTCTGAGAAATTATTAAAATTAGTCCATTCACAGAGAGCCCTAGGAACCTAGCTAACCCAACCCTACTTGTGAAGCTGCCCTACAGAAGCTGCCCCTACAATTCCACCTTGCTGTTATGCTCTTCCTGGTACAACCCCCTGTGTAGCACGACCTGGAGTCCTTTCCTCTTCTGAAACTCTAAAGACTTCTTGCTGTCATCTGAGTGTCATTGTGTCGTTTCCTGCCTTTTGATGGACCTTTAAATCTTATGCAACAATCGGGTACGGGTACCTAAAAGACTTACCTAAGAATCTACCAAACTTTTAGAAACTTATTTATAGACTTTATCAAAAGTACCTAAATTTATTTACATAAATGAATCATAGTAAGTTCAATTTTCACAAAGCAATTAGTATTATTTAATGGACAGAAGCTCAACTTTTGCAAGTTGATTTTGAATAGTACACAGAAATTTTAACCATACATGTTTTAAATTGTCAATTATCTATAAGAACTTTTAGAAAACAGTAGGCATGAAATAGCTTGGAACAAACAAAGACCATCTGTTACCTGGCATAGGGACATGCCTCCCTAAATCTGTTAATTGCTTCCCATTCCTTCCCAATGACACCCTTTCCTCCCTTCAGTTCACTACTTTTAAAGCAATTATTTGTTTCCCAGGATAGCCCGAAAGCTCCATGAGGATAGTGTTGACATCTATTTTATTCACTGTTATATATTTGATGCTTGTCACAGTGTCAGATATAGTACATGCTCAGTAAATATTCATAGAATAAATAAAAGTTACCAGTTCTAAAAAGAAAAACATATACACTTTGATAAATTGTGTACTCAGTGCTGAAGACTGAGGGTCCACATATACTTATAAGGGTACAAACATTATTCTCAATCCTTGGGTCTTATTTCTTAATTTAATAAGAGGGCAATGCATGTTGGATAAGGCTATATTAAAAACAACTTTGCATATTCTCTATCCTCTCTCTTTTTTATGAACTCAGTTAAAACCTGATTCTATCAGCTGAAAAGTTATTTTTTCCTCCCTTTGGTGATATTAACAAGAAAATAAATACTTAATAGGGTTCTAGAAAAGTAAAGATTAAGATTTGGCCTCAATATATATTGCATATCAAGTTGGCAATTAACTACATTATCTCCATTGATGTCTAGAAAGGAGCAAATATATCTAAGAGAAGTTAAATAATTATTTTATTAATTGTCACAAAGTATTGTTAGGCAGAGATTTGTTGTTAAGGAAGCTTTTGGTTTGATGTTGTGAAATCAGCATCTTCTATTATAATTATATAAGGTCTGCTTTTATAGGGACGATGCCTGTAATAATTTTTCAGTACATTCTCAGTCTCATAAGATTTTAATTGACAACATTATTCATAGACCATCATTTTTGCTTAGGACTATGAGGAATCAGAAGACTAAGTCATCTTTTTCCATTAATGGATTTTAAGTCCAGTCAGGAGAGAAAAAAAAAATAAAAAGAGGTATTCGTAAATGTACAGAGCCTCTCATCCCCAAAAGAGGAAATGTCATTAAGCTAAGAGCTGAGGAAGCTCAAATAGGAAATTTGTTATTCATCAATGAGGGAAGGTCTGTGGAAATCCTCCAGGTACAGATGAGACACGAATTGGTAGAGTTTGGAAGCTTGTGTGGTATGTGGGAAACAAGCTGACCCTTGAAAGAGTAAGTAATGAAATGAAAACAGGCCAGGTGAAAAGCATCTTCTAAGCCTGTGATCCTAATGTGAGGAGGGTGGATTGGTTGGGGCAACTCTGTTAGCTCTGTTGGATAGAGTCACTGAACACACAAAAGCAAACCCAAAAGGGAGAAATTGGATCAAACTTTTAAAATGTGGGCAGGATTCAGAGGTTAAAGAAAGGCTCATAGAGAAGTTTTCAATTAAATATCCAGGAAATAAGTAATCATTGGAGATTTATGAGAGAAATAGTTTTAAGTAATAAACATGTATTTAAATAAAATAAAACTTTGCTTTTGAGGGAATGGGAATACCAGTCAGATGGGAAGGAATTTTAAGATAGTTCTGCAGAGCATATTTTAGATTTGAAAAATGACTAAAATTTGAGTGTGCAGGCAAGTACATTTTAGCCACTTTTTTTTTTTCACATCCAGTATCCATTCTGATGTTCCCTGTGTTTTTTGATCTCAGGTATTTGCTATGAACTATTGCCTAATGCAGTAGGTGTCGTTTAACATGCAAGAAAGAACTAAATATTATTAAAACAAGTAGATGATAATATAATAAAACCCCTACAATTATAGTGCACTTAAAAACGGTAGTAGTGTTAACATGGGTTTTTGCAAAGATCTACATTTCAATTCTTTAGTTATTTTAATTGTTCATTAGGCAACCTTGCTAGTATGTAGTCTACTTTTTCTTCTACACTTTTATTCTGATGACTCTGCTTTTCAAATTGCTTCATGCCTCAGGCCTTCTTACCTATCCACTTAACCTCATTCGTAAAATCAATTCCTAATTTCCAAGCTATCACTTATCACTTGACTGTTTAATCAAGGGAGAAAAAAAAATAACAACAAAAAACAGTGTTTTCCTTAACTATTTGGCTGTTGTTATTCGGTAAATAGGCTGATATCTTTTTGCACAAACACAAAGGAGTTTACTTTTGAAATCACGGTCAAAATGTTTGTTCTAGATTGCCTGCTAGAAAAAAAAATAAAAGAGAAATATCTATGATAACTTTTGCCCCTGAATATTAGACTCCATGTGATACAATTTGCAACTTAGCTATAGTTTTGTACATTACAAATCTTGAAAATAGGTTAAACTCAGAAGGAAGCAAATGCTGGCTTCAGAATCAAATGGCTTCTTATTTGAATTTCAGAATGCTTTCATTGACCAGGTGCCTTTAGTAATAACTACAGTGAAAGTATTCTTTAAAATAATCATTTAAATTTTTTAAATGTTGCAAAATTATTTTCATGTGATTTCATTTATAAAAACAAATATTCACATGGAAAAGCACTATATATTGCCATTTAGAGTATTTATTTATTTATTTATTTAGAGTATTTATTTTTAATAATACATTTTAAGTAGTGCTTCTTAATTTTGTTTTCATGGAGTTGTAGTACTTACATATTCTTCAACATTGCACATAAAATTTCTATTTTTCATAATCTATCATAACTATGAGCTTTATGTTAAGAATTAGGAGATAAATCTGTATATAATACATATGCCACATAAAGACTTGATCAGAAATCATATATCAAGGTGTTATGCAAAGTGCTGAGGTTCCAGCAAACCTCAGAGTATTGTTTGTGGATTCCAAAGAAATAACCCAGAGACTGGCTGTGAAAGGCATGGGGATATTAGGACTTACGTGTGCACCTGCTGCCACCAATGAAGTTGTCCTGCTAAGTCTCATCTGGGCAGCCCACCGGTGCTATTGTTTTGCTGCCACCCAGACCCAGACTTTCCCAAGACAAAGTTTTATAGCCAAAGTTTTACAGAAAACAGAGAAACACAGGGAATGCGGGGTGGGGGGGGGGGGCGGCGTAGGTGCAGGTGTGCAAATTGTGTAAGTTCAAAACATTAGCTGTTTACAATCCAGCCTCACAGTTTCTCTGTGGCCTTTCTTAGACCAAGTTGCTGACCAGGTTCCCAGGGTCTCACAGTCCACCTAAGATGGCCTTCCCTATAGTCCCACAGAGTGGGAGGGGAATTGGAGCATGATAAGGGGCCCATGTTCCCATCTACCGTACACATGGGTATATCTGTTTGCCCATATCTGTCTGTGCACCTATGTGTCTATTACCTATGTTTCTGGTTTTTTGTTTTGTTTTGTTTTGTTTTCTGGATATAAACAAAGGCTTAATGAAGAAAAGACAATTTTTGCCTCAGTAACAAGAAACTTGATTCCTTCTATGTTATTCTTAAATCAATAGAGACAGAAAAATCTTTGAATTGTTTAACTTAATATACTTTTCATGAGAAATGAGATCGCTAATGCACTTTTTCTCTAGTGGATTATTTTAAATGAAAAATTCTAACCCTTTTCTTCTCTTATTTTCTCTGTCTCTTGTCCTCTGCAGATGGGCCTCTGGGCCCCCGAGGGTTAGCTGAAGCTACAGAGATGTGCACTCAAGAGTGCTTGGTTTTGGGCCACTCTGATAATTGCTGGATGCCTCCTGGCTTAGGTCCATATCAACACCCCAAATCTCCTCTCTCAACTTTTGCACCTCAGAAAGAATGGGTCAAGAAGGACAAGCTTGTGAATGGGCACACCCTCACCAGAGCCTGGAAAGAAGACAGCAACAGGAACCAGTTCAACGACCGGAAGCAGTATGGCTCCAATGAAGGCCACTTCAACAATGGCAGCCACATGACAGACATTCCTCTGGCCAATCTGAAGTCTTATAAGCAACCAGGAGGTGCTATGGAGAGTCCGAAGGAACACCAACTCTAAAAATACAGAATTAAAAAAAAGGCTGTATGGGACCTAATAACTTTAATCTAAATAGACATGCTAATACTGTGTGTGTCAGAGCTTTATATATTCAATAGATCTCTACAACTATGCCCCTTATAGCAGGGATATTCATAACTTTGTGTTAGCACCATGGAGGATACAATGTTTTACAGCATAAGAGAGGATAGTCTATTAGCCATGTGATCTTGTTTACTAGAATTGGTTAAACTCTCCAGAGATCTCTCCATTGTGCAAATGTTCTGTTTTTCTTTCATTGCATTTTATTTTGACCCTGGACTGCTGCTATGAACAATAGAATGTGCATTTGGAGAGTAAGAAAGTTCCATGGATTAGAATGACTGACAAATATATCCAGGTAGAGAATTGTGCTCTTTTTGTCATTGATTTGTGCTGGGACTGCTATACTTGACATTATACTTCAAATAAAACTTAAAAAAGATAAGCATTAAACCTATTGTGCTGTTAACAACGTTAGTGGACACTTGTAAGTCAGTGTTAAAGTATTTGTAAATAGAAGCAAGTTATTATTAACAACTTTTGTGTACTTATAATGTTCACCTAAAAAAATGTGTAGCATAATTCTGTGTTTTATGGTTGCTTCTTTCCTTTTTTTTTCATTTGCCTCTGTCATTATTTTGTTGTTTCTTTTAGTGAGGTGTTTCTGCATTAGTAGTCTGTCTTGACACACATTGTTCCAAGGATCTCAAACACTTGCTTTTCGAAAAAGGTTCTGGAATCTTGCTTCTTTTATGATAGCTTATAATGCCGAGATTCTGTATAACATAAAGCTCAAAAGTAAAAAAACTTTATATAAAAAATGATTTCTGTAAAAGCTTGGAAATTCAGAACCTATTTTCTTTACATCCTTATTTTCAAAGTAGGCAAAAGCAAATCACTTAATTAGTAGTATTAAGTGAAAGAATTATTGTTCAGAAAGTGATATAATATCCTGTACTTGTCACTCATGAAAAACTAATGTATCAAAATTAGCATATATTAAAGAAAAATTACTATTTGAAAATAGTTTAAATTGGGCAAATGTGTGTCTACAAGTTTGTTGAAATGGCAGAGTTTGTGTTGATCCTCATATACAATAATGTTGTTGTAACACAAGTGTTAGACCATAGCCACAAAATATTTAATGTGTTGTGCCTTCATGATGTAACAGAACATTCTCCAGGTAGGCTAGTTGGGGGAAATAAAGGGATAAATCTCTAATTATTGCTGTTTAACTGTTTGTTATCATAATTGGTCAATGCCTGGCAGGTACCAGCATCTCGTCACTTAGGTCAAACCAACAGAGTGACAACTAATGTTAATAAGATCTCAGTTGCACGTGCAAACAAATCCAAATTTGAACATTCTTAGGAGGTTTTTGTTAAGGCATGACAGATGATTTAAACAAATAAATAGCATGCAACAAATTGTCTTTATTGAAAGAAGTGAAAGTTATCTTAATGCCACGGTTCAACATCAGTTTAAAAGCGAAAAAATAAAATAAAAAAAAGGTTTGCTAATCTGATAGTTAATTTGTTACCAAAAATAAAATTACTTTGTAAATAGCAATTCACATTTTTCCACAGTATAATGGAAAATAATGGGTAGGGGTGCATTGCTTATTGCAGTACATTTTTGTGGGTTTGTGAGGGGTGTTTGATGACTTTGACAGAATAAATATCTAAACAATTATCCTTGTTACTGCTTTGCCAGTTCTACGTTATTTACAATTATTCAGCTCTTGCAATAAACGTTCTGAATTCCTGATTGGAGTGTGTTAATTCTTGGTCAACAGCCAAAGTGACGATTCCTACACTAATTGTTGGATAAAGAGATGTTGATAAAACTTAGCTTTTAATTAGAAATCAAGAAAGATATGTCAGACGTTTAATGTCGTTGTTCTGAAAATATGGTTCCAAGTGATAGTAAAATTCCCCTAATAATCTATGAAATCATTATCTAGGGAAATTCGTGGAGAAAACTGGTTCACTTTCTAGTCAAGATTCATACAAATTTCATCAAAATGAAATCTCAAGTCAGAAACTGGGAAGGGAGCATTGGTTAGGTAGTGAGCTTATCTTCTTGACTCAGTCTTTTAAATAAGATTTTATGAAACAAGCTCTCACATATTTTATTGTAGACCATGGCAGAAGAGAACCACTCTGGGATTAAGGCCTTAAAACAAAGGCCAAAAGTTCATCTATATTTCTTTCAGGTTAATAAAATAGGCACAGAAAGCTTTCAAGAATAATAAGACACACTAACACATATACTATGCATTTCTATTGACCACAGCGCAACTGGATCAGTGTTCACTCCTGTTAGAGCTTTAGGGTAAATAAGCAGGCCTAACTCTTCCTCTAGACCTTTTTTTAAAACTATACTTTTTTTATTTAGTTAATAGAGGAAGGGAGAGGGAGAGAGAGATAAAATCATCAATGATGAGAGAGAATCATTGATCGTCTGCCTTTTGCACTCCCTATACTGGATATCAAGCCTGCAACCTGGGCATGTACCCTGACCGGGAATCGAACCATGGCCACCTGGTTCATAGGTCAAAGTCAACCACTGAGCTACGCTGGGCCTCTAGACTTGGAGGAGAGTTGGGAAATAAGAGACAAGAGATGCAGACATAGAGGTAAAGATATTTGCTTGGACCAGTGGCTATAAGTGAAACCTTAACCCTTCTAAGTCAGACTTGTTCATTATTCTGAGGCACACCTATGGCGACACCCTCCTTTCTTTCACAGAGGCAAAGCCTACCCCAGGACACAGAGAATGAATATATCCTGAAAACAGAACTCACTCTGGGGGAAAACACAAAAAAAGAGTCTATGCCTGCACAGTTCTTTCATTTTTTTACCAATGAGACAAGTTACTCCCCTTTGCCTTGAAGAATAAAAGATGAAAGAAACTAAAATAATTTCTTTCATACATTTTCCGTCCCATAGAGAGTGCAATAACAATGCCCTCCTTTTTATGAAACAAACAAAAACACACAGAATTGTAGAAAAGAAACTCCAATCTCCACCACATTTCTTCTAATAAATACAATATTTAGTCTTATCAAGACATTCAGTTGTATGTTCTGTGAAATTTTAATATTGATAACAGCGCAAACTAAATAATTTACTCATTAAGTGCATAAAATAAGGCATTCATAGTGACTATTTCTTAAAAATCACCAACATTGTTTTATTGTGCAGACATTGGATATTATGAAACGTTTTCCTGGAAATCAAAACCATGTACATTTCCTGGTAAAGCACACCTATATGAAGTGTATAAAAATAAGGATTTTTAGAGTGATTATCAAATATTACAATGCTATATACTAACACATTTCCTAAGGCAAGAATAGAAATAAACTTTATAAAGCTGAATATGACCAATTTGAATGAGCATTTCTATATATAGGCTAATATAAAATATACATTAAAATAATGGTCATTCATTAATAGACTGAATAGTCATTTTGCTGCTGCACTGATGCTATTCAGAATAGAGTAGTGTTCCCAAACTCCCATCATTCTTTATCTAAAGCTACAAATGCAGCTGAGGCCCAGAAGCCATTCAAGTATTTATTAAACTCTCTTGGCTGGAAGCCAGGAATGGCTAATTATTAGTAGTGAGGAGTTTTGGCAGCTAGGGATGAAAGGGATGCCTTGTCAGTTTTAATCCTAATGTGAATGCCAGGGTGTTAGTTTGTGAGAGAGCAAACCAAACTATGAAAAGGAGGAGTGGTGTGGCCAGCCTGAAAATGCTTCATTGTTCTGCTTTGTTTTAAATAAAGCTGATCTTCTCTTCCTAAAGGATGCTCCTTCATTGGTTCTTTTGAAAGAGATTACTTTCAAATTCTCCCAGTGTCCTTAAAGGCACAGTGATCACATAATGAATTCTCTATCTACTGTCCTTCCTCTTTCACAACCACAAATCTGGATTTTAGTAGATACCAACCAGGCTTTTCACTGTTGAAAAAAATAAAATTATTCACTTAGAACTAAAATATCTTTATAAAGTATACACTATTAAACATGACTGTCATAATGTTAATTCACACTAGTTCATTCAAGGTATAAATTACAAACTGTGATATGTGGTCACTGCTTTCATAGGCTATTGTTTCTTCTTTGACACTCATGATGAGGTTAGCACACAGCCCCCCTCACAGTCTGCTGCAGCCACCCCAGTTCTATGCACCCCCACCAGAGACACTACTGTGGCCATCAGCCTATGGGAAATGCTAACGTTATAGCAGCTCTCATTTTAAACCTCATCTTATTTCTACCACAAACTAGTTTTAGATTGCTTTTCTTCCCCCCCCAAAATATCTTATATCTCAGAAAAATAAAACGGACAGAAAAATTACCAAAAAAAGAACAACAACAACAACAAAAAACAACAGAACATCGAGACAAAAGGAATGTGCGTCCATATTTTATATATTTCCATAAATTCATGTCACCAATCCTGTTTTCTTTCCAGAAATAGGCCATATAATTGTCTATGAGATTACTGGGAACATAAGCAAAAACAAAGAAGAACACTTCATTTATCAGTAAATTTAGTAAATTGGTTTTTATATTTCAGTGGATCATATTCTACCATTATGATTTTCTCTCAAGTCTGATAACAAATGAACTATTTGAAACAATATGATTGCATATGCTGATTTTTCTACACTTAACATTGTTTTAAGTAATAGTTTGTGTAAATCATGAATCACACTATATAAAATATATAAAATTCAATATAAAATTATGTTTTCTTGACTTATAATAGTTTTAATTGTTAAATTATACGTCACTTAAGTAACCTTGCTTAGAAGTTCCACTCTTTGGAAAACATCATAATAATGGCATCTAGGCTGGTCCTCATACCACTCATCACCGAGATCCCTGTAATAATCTACTTCTCCTCTCTGCACTATAGAAAAGACTGTTTTTCTTATGAAAGTCTAAAGTTTTAAGAGGAGGAAATAATTTCCTCAGCTGCCGTAGCCAAGGGCACCATAATCCCTATACAACATATCTCACCTCAGTGACATGTTCTCATTCCCTAGCCTCATCTCCTTGTTTAAAGCATCCCTAATAAAACCCTATTCAGAATTTAAAAGACCCGTGTAGCCGGATATAGCAGAGGTTACAAAAGATTGTTAAAATCTTTACTGCCCAGAGCATGTGGGTTAGATAGCCCTTAGTTAAGTTTCATAATATGACAATGGATGCACAGTATTTTAGAAATATTTACCTTTGTTTGGGATTGTCCCAAACACCAGTAGTAGTAGTAGTGGCTTTAATCAGGGCCCAGAAATCTTTGGAGTAACTGAGAGAGAGGTCTGACACATTATGAAACAGAATATAATTTCCTGAAAAAGTCTATCCAGCTGCACAATTGTCAGACTGAAACTTAAATATGTGGGGAATTTATTTTTGGTTCTTTGTTTTTCTACAGACTATAAATAACCTTCATGAGGCTTTGTCTTATTTATCCTATATATATAAAAAGGCAGCTACCACAACAGCCATAAGGACCTAATGACTGGTCTCTATGATGCCCATTGTGGCCAGCAAACGAACCAATCAGGGGGTGGTGCTGACGGCTAACCTTGTGGCCCCTCACCCCTGCCGGCCTGCCCCTGATCGGACTCTCCCACCCAATCAAGAGCGGGGCCTGCTGGTCAAACGCCCCCCTCTCCCTCCTCCCCCCCCCCCATGGACCCTTTCCCCAGCCATCTGGCCCTGATTGGGCCCTGATCCAAGTGAGCTGGCCGGTCAACCTCCTGCCATCCCCTCCTCCTGACAGGCCCAGCCCTGATCCGCCCTGATTGGGACCAGGCCTGCTGGACCCCGCCCATGCACAAATCTGTGTACTGGGCCTCTAGGTCATTAATAATTGTAATTGTACTAGAGGCCCGGTGCACTAATTCATGCACCAGTGGGGTTCCTTGGCCTGGCCTCTGGGATCGGGCCAAAAACTGGCTCTCCAACATCCCCCAAGAGGTCCAGTACTACAAGAGCACAGGCCAGGTTGAGGGACCTCACCGGTGCATGATCAGGGCAGGGAGAGATGCGGGAGGTTGGCCAGCTGGGAAGCGACCACGGGAGAGCTCCAATGAGTGTCTGGCCTGTCTCACCCAGTCCCGATTGGCTGTACCTCAGCAGCAAGCTAACTTAGCAGTCTGAGTGTCTGCCCCCTGGTGGTCAGTGAACATCACAGTAAGCAGTTGAGCGGCCTTAGCATATCATTAACATATTATGCTTTGATTGGCTCAATGGCCGAGCACTTGACTGGACACTTAGCATCTTAGGCTTTTATTATATTGGATTTATATGGCACTTATTCTGCTCAACATAGTTTAAGGATTTACATACATGAACATTAATTTTTCTCATACACTTTTTTTGCTTAGTATATGCTGTTTGTATCACCATATTACAGATGAGGGAACTGAGATGCAGGGACCTTCATTAAATCTACTCTAGGTCCTAGAGCAAGCTAGCAGCAGTGCCGATATGAATCTGGGCTTTTAACCACTGTGCAACATGACCCCCTTATGAAAGATTCCAGCACTTTTTGATTCTGAGAATGAATCATAAATTGCCTTTAACACACACACACAGAAGCAATAAAATGATATACTAACTTGTTCTGATATAAATATACCCCTTTCCACTTAGAGTTTGTTTTACCTAATGGATGACATATTTATATGTTGGTTTAAATATTTTATTTATTAAATGTGTGACAATTGTGCTAT